AAAAAAAAAACTCTTCCTTTTCCTGCTATACCAGATGTCCGTCGTGGGTGGGTGGCCAGGGCTGACTTCTCAATAGGTCAGCAGGCACAGTGCCGAGGGCCCATGCCACTTTCAGGGACCCACAAAAATGTTTTAATTTTAATTTCTTTTTAAATGCAGAAAATAAACATAATAGTAATGAATAAATAATAATGAATCCAGCTTGTATCTCTCTACGAACATGGCCCTAAAATATGTTTTACTATTTCTCTTTGTAAGAGAGGGCCCATCAAGGCAAAGGTGACTGGGACCCGGGAAAGTCAGAGTGTGTCACCTGTATATAGCCTCTGTTTTCAACACTGACTTTCTCAGGGCACAGGCCAGCTACTATAAGGAAATGCCAGGAGATATAGAATCTATTTACTCCAAAAGCTGTAATTCTATCCTATTTTTTTCCTACTTATTTGAGATGCAGATCTGGTATTAGATAAATGGTCCTTTGCCACTTATTCTGGGAAGAGGTGTGTTTGCTGGAAAGTTAGACCATCAGGGATATTCCACACACTGAAAGCGTCACCTGAAATCCTATAAAAATAAATGAACCAAACACATAGGAGATTTAAGTTGCATCAGAGACACACAGAGAGGTTGATATTCACTTTGTTATGACTCAGATAAAAATATTCACATGGGCAGCTGGGCTGAATGCATTTGTTATGCCTGAGACATGTACTGTATTTAAGGAAAAAAACAATACTGAGGTTTTCAGGAAAAAAGAGTTCATCCCGTTAATGGCTTTATCTCCTCATTCCTGAGGCTGGAAGCTCAAATTCAAGCAGGCGGTGCCAGGCAAAGAGTCCCCACTTACCTGAAAGACGACTCTTGAGCTTCACCTTACTGCTGCCCTGTTTGGGACTTTCCAAGTTCCCCTTGGGTTCCTCAGAGCCACATACATCTTGGGGCTCATCTGTCCCAGGCATCTGAAATACAGAAAGAACAGAGCTGATGGGAGAGGCTAGACCTGCAATGACTTGTGCTATCCCCTCCAAGAAGTTATCTCAAGGCTCAAGGAGCAGCAATACAGGTGTCACGTGAAGAGAAAGGCTCCTGGGATCAAAGGCCAGCCCTTCAGATAACCTGCAACCAGACAGCCTACGCTGGCAAGCTCCACAGCACGCCCCTCCCTGCACCGCACAGAACCAGGGAAGTTCCAAACCAGAAGGGGCCCCCAGGGCTATTTCATCTCTCATTCTACATTGGAGGAAGCTTGTTGGCCAAGGTCACCAACATGGTCACACAGTGGTCAATAGCAAAGCCACAATTAGAGTCTAGGCCTCTTGACTTGTGGGCTGGTGCTTTTTCCTACAATGCAAGTTGCAACAAATATTAAACCAGAAATTTAAACGCAATTCTAAGCTTTCTAAAGTACAGTAAAAGGGCCAGCCCATGGCTCACTCGGGAGAGTATGGTGCTAATAACACCAAGGCCACGGGTTCGGATCCTATATAGAGATGGATGGTTATTTAGCTCACTGGCTGAGCGTGGTGCTGACAACACCAAGCCAAGGGTTAAGATCCCCTTACTGGTCATCTTTTTAAAAAAATAAAAAAATAATAAAGTACAGTAAAACTTTGATTTTTGTGGCAACCAAATAAATATATCCCTCAGTCGACCAGATATTCTGTGTGCTACACTCCCGAGTACTGATTCAACACCTCCCAGAACCAAGCATTGGCCAGGCTATGTGGGGCGTTGACCCACACATCCGTAGGTTGTATGTCTATGGTATCAGTCTCAAGAGGTGGTACAGAAAGGATGGTCCCAGAGCTCATCAGGTCCTCCATTCTAGCAAAGCCAAACATGCTTAAAAAATCAAACTATGTTTATTAGAGGAAAAGGAGACACATGCATTTGAGAATGCTTATAAAAAATTTTGAGGAAAATTTACATGTACAAAACTTATGAGATGCCTCAAACAATAAGCCTTCCCATGTGAAATTCTATCTTCTTTTAAGGTTCTGGAGGGAAAAAGTCTCAGATTAAAGTAGATAAGATTCTCACTAGGGAATATATACTTACTTTAAAAAGACACAAGCTGTACTTTGACACTTAGCGGTCATTGAAAATTATAATGGCAAACCCCCCTGAATTTTAACAGGTTATAAAAATTACATATTATATATAAAATTCTCTATATAAAAATGTATAAAGTAAGCAATTACAATAATTCCTCAGGTAATCCTATTTTTAAGAGGTAATTATTTATATCTATATTTTATACAAGTATGGAATGTTTAAGATTTGGAAGATTCCCTCTTCTTCCTCAA